GGGTGGGGAAAGCCAGGCCATAACCATCCCAGCCCCAAAGCTCACCACGTTATCTCCTCATGGAGGCACCATGTGCTCCCCAGTGTTTTGCTCCTTCTGGGCACCCTTTGCCAGAAATTCAAACTCAAATTGCTGCTGCGAAGGCAACAGATGCCAACCTATCACAAAATTAATCCTGCTTCACTTAGCACATCCTTGATGCCTGAAGCGCTGCCATCAGTTCCCCACGGATTACAGAACTGAGTGCCCCCACCTCACTGCGATGCCGAGGTTTACACTCCAAAGCCCCCACTCACCCCATTGCCCTTCTCCCCCTCAGGGAGTGCTGGGGGCTGGTTGGGTCCTCCTTTCCTGAGGCTGCAGCATCTACCTCTGGGCCCTGGCAAGCACCAGCAGCATAAACCCCCTGGAAATGTCCCAAACCAGACATTTGCAGCTCAGCACATGGGGGCTACTCTCCTCCAGCCCTGATGGGCCAGTGCAGGGTCTGTTGCCCTCAGCCAGGCGAGGTGGATGCTGGGGGGATGGTGAAAGTACCGAGGGGGGTGCTCAGCCGGCGGGGGTCGTCGCTGGGCATTTCTCCCATGTCCTTCACCCATCTCACCTCTCCCGGTGCCTTTTCCACCCATGCCCCCGTGACTCGAACTCCCGTCTCGCCCTGCCTGGGATGTTCCCCCTGCCTGCACCACGGCCCCTTTATTTATTTTTGCTGCTGTTCAGGCCACGATGCTGGCCAAGTCCTTCCTTCACTGTCAGACCCAGCCAGATGGGGATAATTAGGCCTGGATTAAGTTTAACTCTTTAAAAGGCAGCAACACTTCACAGACACTCACAGCTCCTCTCCATCTCCATCTCCTCCCTGCCACTCATCCCAGTTTGTCTGTTTGTTTACAGCTGCTCATTTCTGGAGTTCTAAGAAATCTCCCAGACCAGATAAAAGCAATTGCATGGATTACTCAAACCCACAGCAACCACCAGCCAAAAAGCTCTAGCTCCAAGTGGTGCACCATATCCATACTTCCTCCACATCCCTCCTTCCTCTGCAGACCTGGCCCAGGGCATCTGACCAGGCAACTTGGCCCAGGGGGCTGCAGACCTCGGTGCCAGACTGTGCCCTGGCTCTGTGCTGGGGCAGAGCCATGTCTTGCTCGCAGGAGCTGCTGGTAGAACCCAGGTTACTTTTGCAGCCACAGATCCAAAACGTGCCCAATGCGCTGGTGCTACCCATCCAAAAGTGATTTTCCCAAAACGGTCCTCAGCTCAAATCCAGATGCTCACTCACCTTCTGCACGACTCCACCGATACAGGCTTCCTGTGGGAGCAAACCGCTGCCCGACAAAAGACCGGAGTAAAAAAAAAATAAATGCAGTTCCTCTTGTCCGTCCCAGGAGGGCAGAGCAGGTGGGGTCAGGCAAGGCCGACGAGTTCCTCCCCGGTTCCATCCCTGCAGCACAGCCCATTGGAGCTGCGGCCACGCTGGAGCCAGGCCGAGCTGTGCCCAGACCGCGCTCAGAGCACCGAGCTCCCCGGCAGCTCGGGGTACACGGCCAGGCCAGCGCGGGGTGGGAGGCAGCAGTGTCCCAGTACAGAGCTGTGTGGGGCCAGGGCGGGCAGAGAACAGAACCCCAGCACCAGCCCTTCCCCAACCCACTCGGACCGTGAAGTTCTGCTCAGGCACCCAGAGCTCCCCAAGGGCCGAATAGGAGCAACTCCTGCCCCACCCCAGAGCATGTGGGTGACAGAAGTGACCCCTGGCTGTGTGAGCCACGGCCAAGAACATCCAAGCTAAGCCACTTTTCCAGAGATATTTATTACAAAACGTCGAAATACAAACTGAACATAGAAAACATTATTAGAACTGGCCCTGCTGCACCATCTACCCTGATACCTGCGCCTGGGGACCCTAGCACCCAGAGCTCCTGTGACCAGGCCTGGCTGCCCCCAGCCCCTCTCCCCCAAGCCCTGGCCCGAGGCCTCAGGGAAAATCGCACTTGAAGCCATGCTCCCTCCTCCTGAAATGCTGCTTCTTCTTCCTCAGCTTCCCTGAACCCAGGATGCTGTAGTTGTAATCAGATGTGACATAGGGGATCTCTCCATCAATTCCTTGCTGAAAAATGGAAAAATAAAACCAGAAAGAACATCAAGAACTTGTATCTACAGCAGCACGGGAAGCACTTCCCTCCCCATGCTGACAGAGCTGATGGTGAGCAGGATCCAGAGATCACCAAACCCTGCTCTGGCATGTGAAACATGAGCAGAATGTTCTGTTCTCCCAAGATTTCTGTGCTTAAGGACAATTTCCTAGAGATAACCATCTCCTGATGCCCAGGCATCTCCAGGCACGTACCAGCCTCAGGAATAGGAAAATGGAATACCTGTTAGCCAGCCAAAGCTCAGCCAGCTCCCACCCCTTCCATGAGCTCCTACCTGGCCCACGAGCACACAGTTAGGGATGGTAATGCTCCCAAGGAGCAGACAATTCACTAGTCTCAGGTTCTCCGGAGGCACCGGCGTCAGGACGTAGTAAACTTTCTTCTCCATATCAACTCCTCGGACAATCCCTGAAAAGAACAAGGGCAAAGCTCAGTCATTAAGTGTCCCTGCACCTCAGCACATCCCTGCAGACACTGGAGCACTGAACTCCAAGTCCCAACCGGAACCTCAAAAGGAGTCATAGAAGGAAACTGAGACAACTACAGAATTTTGCGTTACCCATGTCGAATCTGCTTCTGAACCCAGAAAGCGTACCAGCTGTGGAGTTCTGAGAGAAGCCACGAGTGGTGCTGCACAGGGAAATTCCCCACGGCCATGACACATGTTAACGAAAGCCAACGGACTCGCAGCACAGCTTGGAACAGCAGAGAACACACACTGCTCCCCCTGCCATCCCTCCCAGTGTGCTCACCGAAGCCCAGGCAGTCGCAGAGAGGTGTGTGTGTCAGCAGGACCGGCCCGTCGCCCTGGCTCCGCACCTCCTCGGGAATGCGGCACAGCCCGACCCAGCTGGCGTTCACCGCGTACATGATGTTGGTGGGAGCCACGTCCGTGTGGACAACTCTGAGCGCGACAGCACTGAAAGGGACCTGAGCGTGGACAGACAAAACTGTTTCACCCGCTCCACACCGACCGACTCTGAGTTCAGAGAGAAGACCCTGCCGAGCACACAGGCCCTGCATGCTGCCCCCCCAGGCCCCTACCGCAGGGCACACACCACAGCTCCTGCTCCCACATCCGCACATGGAGCACAGGAAACACACACGCCACCTGCACACACATGCCATGCTGGCATCTCGACAGAAGCCTCACTTCCAGACACCCTGAATACATCATCTCTGCAGATCACAGCGTTTATCCTTCTTCAGAAAAACATCAGCGGGAGGAGCAGGAGCGCCCGGCCCTGCACCACCCCCAGGGGCTCCTTTACCTGGTAGGGCACCAGGCCGTGCAGTGGGAGCACCGCCCCGATGTCCGGGCACTGCAGCTGCCCCAGGTACCCCAGGATGGACATGTCGCGCAGGATGCCGCTGTGCACTCGCCTGGAAAAACGACTCGAGTCAAGGACCACCTGTGGCTCAGTACAGCCCATGGACCCCACACAGCACACGGGTTGGTACTTACACTTCACCTGCCACCCCTGCCCGAGGGAATTCCGGGTGGACGTACAGGAGCTTGTACTGCGGAGCCGACGTGTCCTCCCCCTCGGAGCACTTCGAGCTCTCCATGCTGCCCGGATCCAGCTGCATGCACTTGGGCTGCTGCTTGCCCTTGGTGTGCAGCCCGGCGCTGAGGTGGACGTGCTCGGGGGTGAGTGGGATCATGGCCTTCCAGTCGTACACGTCCATCTGCACGACGTGGCTGGGCGACAGCAGCCGGATGAGATCGATGAGCAGCAGCAGCCCCTCACCTTCGGAAGCACAGAGCACACACAGCTGCTGCTCCAACAGGACACCAGCACTAGCTCAGGGCAGATGCACTGCGTGCTCCCGTTCGATGTCATACCGCAACCATCGCTGCCTCCCTCCCACACCTCTCCAGAGGTGTTTGACCCTGTTTACCTTTCACCCAGCCCATGGTGTTGATGATTAGAGGCACCTCCTTCTTGTAGCAGCTAAACACATACTTCACAACATCGAGGTATCTCTCTGTGTCCTGCTCACAGCTGGTCTGGCCGTAATACACCGTCTTATGGGGCATCTGCTGGTGAGTGAAGGGGGGACCTGCCAGAGCAAGCACCCAAATCAAACCAGAACACTTCCATCCCTGCAGCACCTACATACCACCCACTGTGAAATAACACATCTTCCCACATGCTAACAGTCCTTGCACAGCCTGTGCTTAGGGGAAACTTGCAAGGTTTGTTTGCTTGAGGTTTGTTGTTTTAGGTTTGTTTCTTATTTGTTTCCTTGTTTGAAATCACAGGTTACATACCTCCAAACCATTAAACAACAGCCTATGACTAACTGCCCAAAGACCAAACCAGTCTGGAGAAAGTGACCTGAACCCACCAGACCACAAACACCTGTGGTTTCCTAAGTGCTCCTTCTTTCACACATCACAAGAGCCCCCAACCTGTGCAGTCACTTTCTCAAGTTAGTTTTATCTATGGATACAGATTCTGCTAAACCGGAACATCCCCTTTAATATGTTCTACCACCTGTAAACAATACCTTCCTTTAAGACAAACCCAGCAGAACGGCTCCACATTACTTAGCAAGCTTAGCAAAAAAAAACTCAGCCCACCGCCCCTGCAGGCAGCTCCGAGGGCTGTGGCAGCAGCTTCCCCTCAAGCACAGGCTCTGCCCAGAACACGGCGTTCGCTCCGGATGTCGCGGTGCCCCCGACCGCCGCACGCACCCAGCACGGGCTCCGTGACGCTGCTCAGGGACACGCACCCCGGCGGTGTGAACTCCGTCTGCCCGATGTCACACTCCAGGTACTCCACCACGGGCAGGCAGCTCCGAGGGCTGTGGCAGCAGCTTCCCCTCAAGCACAGGCTCTGCCCAGAACACGGCGTTCGCTCCGGATGTCGCGGTGCCCCCGACCGCCGCACGCACCCAGCACGGGCTCCGTGACGCTGCTCAGGGACACGCACCCCGGCGGTGTGAACTCCGTCTGCCCGATGTCACACTCCAGGTACTCCACCACGGGCAGCCTGCGGGGACAGAGCCTCAGCCTCCAGGAAGAGCCACGGCACGGCCTGGACACTTCAGAGGCACAACCTGCGTTCGTTCCAGGCCATCAGTTCAAGAATACAATCCACCACCACTTGCCTCTCTCCCTCCCTCAGACACACTCATGGTGTGCTTTAAGCGTTGCAGCTCCCAATTCCTTCCTGAACCCAAACCGCTCAGTGCCCAATCAGCACATACACTCCAAGGTAGCAATTTAACAGTGTTTCAACAGAAACGTTCAGGAGGCAACTTATCTCAAAAGGACCTAATTTTCCTGAATTGCTGTTTGTGTTTAAATGCTATCCACCTTCCAGTCCTAACAGCTCTTCTCAGAGTCCTGCCAGGCTTTTCTTTCCTTCTTCTAAACCCCACGCAGCACTGAATAACCTGCAGCGCAGGGAAAGACTTACCGATTCAGCAACAGATTGATTAGGTATCTGTTAAATGTTGATTTCCCAGTGTTTTTGGGGCCACACACCAGCACCACGGGGACACCTTCATCTTCCGCTGGAAAGACAAACAGCCTGAGCTGGGCTGATACCGACACCACTCTCCCACTCCTCAGAGACAAACACAACCCTCGACCAGCGCGTGCCAAGCAGAACACAGCGACCGTCACCGGGGAAAAGCCTCCCGATTTCCCTCCTTCCAAGCCAGCCTAGCCCTGCCCGGCCGAGCGCCCGCGCTCACCACAGCAGGCCTGGACGAGCTCCTCCAGGGCGAGGTTCGTGCTCTCGGACACCATCAGCCCGCGGTCGGGGCCGCACTTCACGATGCCCACGGACGCCAGGGCCGCGTCCTGCGGCGTGAAGCTGCACTCCTCCTTTTTCTGGGCGAGAGGGAGAGCG